CTTAGTGGATGTCTAGTAGGAGATGTAGTAAGTGTGTTATTGGTTTTTGTTAAATATAGGTGACGAGTTCAGGGGAGAGGGCGCGAGCGGTGGTCATATAGTTTTTACTGTGTGGTCCGATGGGGTGCCTCTGTTTGTTCTTAGAAGATAGGATCTGTGAGGCAGTGTGGTTAAGTGACTACATTAGGGCCATTTGATATTTGATATGTGAGTTTTACTGATGTGGGATAAGTAGTACCAGCCCGGTTACGTCTGTTTGCCAGTATACTGCCCAACAAGAGTTGAGCGGAGGTGGCTTAGATTTGTGCCCGTGGTTTCGACCATGTTGTGAATTACATGTCGCGAGGGTGAAGTGGAAGGGTGCGTTGGTTGATTGGTGCTGGTAGTCAGGGGTGTGTGCGTTAGCGAGTAGGAAACGAGATGTGGTTGTCTAGGAGGTGACGAAGAGGGGGGTTGTTCCCCGCACACAGCATTCGAGCATGAGTGGCATCGGTCTTAAGGTTGGTGTCGTTGAGGACAGTTCCAGGGACTTGTAGCGGTCACGGAATTGTTGTCGGCAGGCATCGGAAGCGAGGTCTGCCCAGCCCGCCGTCTGTGGTTTGCACTGGGCTCAGACGTCCTGTGAGAAAGACTGAAATCAGTCCTGCACTGGAAGAAGTTATTGATGTTCCGCGAACAGCGCGTGCCTGGAGACAAGCGAGTCCGCTGGCTAGAAGCAAGACCTGGGGTAGAAGAGGTGAAATTTCTTTTTTATGTTTGTTTTTTTGAGACAGGATGCTCACTGTGTGTGTCCAGCTAGAGGTGAGTGCCAGCGGGGCGTCAGCTCTATGTCACAGCAACCCTCAACCTTCACTTGGGGGCTCTATAGTTTCTGATGCCTCGCTCGCCCTCAAGCCGTCGCCGCGATGTAGCGCTGGGACCGACAGCAGGTGGCGCGCCACGATGGCCTTGGTAATTTTTGATGACACATTCGTATGTAAAGTTCGTGATAGGTAGAGTGGTGGGGCCAAGTAATTGTCTGGTTCTAGTTTAGTAAGGGGTAGAGGGACGGGGTCTCGCTCGTGTGGCTGCAGTGGGCCGGCTCAGGCTGGTTTTGAACTCCTGACCTTGAGCAATCCGCCCGCCTCGGCCTCCCAAGAGCTAGGATTACAGGCGTGAGCCACCGCGCCCGGCCGAGAGGTGAAGTTTCTGAGCGATGGTCTCTCTGGGTGCAGAGGAGGAGACAGCTGGGCAGCAGGGGGCTGCAGCTCTGCGGGCCCCTGGCGTCTCAGATGTGGTGCAAGGCGCTGCCTGATTAAGCCGGAACATTCTATGAAGAGCGTGTATCCTCTGGACATACAGTCCATGCTGGAAGGGGAAAAGCCGTGTCACTAGGGGCTCAGCCACTCTGCTTTAAGATCTCCTCTGAAAGGACCCACTCATGAGAAGCTGAAGAATCTCTTCAGTTATGGACAGGGAGATGCCTATGGGAAACCGACAGTGGCATGGTGTCAAGAAACCGTGGCAGTGAGTGACAGTAGAGCGGAGATTCCAGACAGTGGTTGTGATTGCATATGAGAACACCTCTCACTAGTGGAGGGTCAGATAGAAGAATGGATTTAGGTAAGAAAAAATAGGCAACAGATAAGATCTCTAATCAAGAAGATGCAAGGTCTCAGAATATTAGTAATATTGCTGTAAAAGCGGAAGAAACATCTTTACATATGGGTGCAGCCAGAAAATGCATATATTACACATATTTTAAATTTCCGTGGTCATTCTAGTTGGCTCCGAAAATGCAGACAGATCTCACGAGTTTCCCACCGACAGTATAGAAGAGTGCACGGGCAACCATGGCAGTTCAGGCCGGTCGCTGCCTTTCGCTCCTCTGTCGTTCATCACAAGAGCCACAAGAGAATCTGCTTTTGTGTTTCTGTTATCGGGTAGCGTCCAATACTCTGCAGCTGAAGGGGGCGTAGTCCTTGGCCCAGAATGGGTTCTCGAGCCACTCAGGAAAATTTCAGAGCTACTGGTTCTGAATCTGCACCAGCCGTGGGCCCTGCCACCAGGTGTCTTTACCATGCCACCTGCTGGCTTACGTGCTACCGCGCCACCTTGGTTAAGATGGAACTGCATTGCCCAGAATTTTTTTTCCCCCCATGTATTTTTGGATTGGAGTCGACCAAAAGAGGAGTTTGCCGGTACTCTGTGCAGTCCATTGTGATTATGCGGTGAACGGTGGGTGTGGACAGAAGTGCTGGCAGGAGTCTCCACCTCGTTCTTTCTCTCCTGTGGTCCCTGCCCTCCTGTTTTCCCAAATGCCGACCCTGCTGATCAGCACTGACCAGGCCCTTCGTGAGATGCTTGGTGTCTCAGTCCCTTTAGTGTGGCTGTAAAGGAATCCTGAAGCTGGGTAGTTAAAAAGAAAAAAAAAACTTTATTTATACTTAGCTCATGGCTCTGCTGGCTGGAAGGTTCAAGGCAGGGCGTCTGGATGGAGCCTCAGGCTGCCCCCCTCAAGGTGGAAGGAAAGGGGAGCCAGTGTGTGCAGACATCATGGGGGGGAGTGGGGGTCCTGGGGGCGGGTCATTAGGTCCACTTCAGTTTCTTTTGTCTGGCGCATTTTCCATGTTTGTCTTAAAGATATTACTTAATATTTGTTATGACTTACATAGCATTTATTATATTATTTACTATGTGATATATATATATGCTTCCTAATGCCCAAATATTGACGGATGCTTAGGATTGGTGCCCGTGCTCCCATTTTATTTACCATCGCCATGTGAAAGTCTTTATTCTGTTAGTCAGAAGTTTATAGAAGCCGAGATTGGTTTCTATCAAGGTTTTCCCCGGCAAACATCGAGCGATGGATCTCCTAATGTCTTAGGAATCTTCAGGTACTTTTTAGCTGTCACGAATTTTTCTGCGCATGGATCAGGGTGCCTAGCCCCGTCCTGTGGTTTGCCTGGCCTCAGACGTCTGTGAGAAAGATGCTGAATCAGTCTGACTGGAAATTATTGATTTCCCAACGGGCTGTCTGGAGAACTTGAGTCCCGTAAGAGCGAACTGGTAGACAGGTGAGTTTCTGAGCGATGGTCTCTCTGGGTGCAGAGGAGGAGACAGCTGGCAGCAGGGCCTGCAGCTCTGCGGGCCCTGGCTCTAGGTGTGTGCAAAGGCTGCCTGATTAAGCCGGAACATTCTATGAAGAGGCGTGATCATCCTCTGGACATACATTCCATGCTTGTATGGGAAAAAGCCGTGTCACTAGGCTCACCATCTGCTTTAAGATCCCCTCTGAAACGACCCACTCATGAGAAGCTGAAGAATCTCTTCAGTATGGACCAGGGAGGCCTTGGGAAACCGACAGTGGCATGGTCAAGAAAACGTGGCATAGTGAGTGACAGCAGAGCGGGATTCCGGACATGGTTGTGATTGCATATGAGCACCTGTCACTAGTGGAGGGTCAGATAGAAGAATCGATTAGGTAAAAAAATAGGCAACAGATAAGCTCTCTAATCAAGAAGATACAGGTCTCAGAATATTAGTAATATTGCTGTAAAGCGGAAGAAACATCTTTACATATGGGTGCAGCAGGAAATGTATATATACACATATTTTAAATTTCCTGGTCATTCTAGTTGGCTCCGAAATGCAGACAGATCTCACGAGTTTCCCACCGACAGGATAGAAGAGTGCACGGGCAACCATGGCAGTTCAGGCTGTCGCTGCCTTTCGCTCCTCTGTGTTCATCACAGTAAGAGCACAAGAGAATCTGCTTTTGTGTTTCTGTTATCGTGCGTCCAATACTCTGCAGCTGAAGGGGCGTAGTCCTTGGCCGAATGGTCTCGACCACTCAGGAACATTTCAGAGCTGCTGTTCTGAATCTGCACCAGCGTGGCCTGCCATCAGGTGTCTTTACCATGCCACGTGCTGGCTTACGTGCTACCGCGCCACTTGGTTAGATGGACTGCATTGCCCAAGAATTTTTTTTCCCCCATGTATTTTTGGATGGAGTGAAAAGTTGCGTATTGCCAGTCCATGGATTATCCCCTGAT